CTATGAGAATGTCCCGGGAAATCCAACTCCAGCTGTGTTCAAGGTCATCCAGATGTGTAAACAATGACTCATCGGTGTTAAATTTCACAGAAAGGCGAGACAAAGGAAAATAAAATTTGAAGATTTTTCTTCAAAATTAACGCATTTCTTTCGTTTTTTTCAGTTTTTAAGTATTTTTTACGTTTAAATAAATTAATATCAAAAATGTCTATGTCCTTAAGGAGTTAAACAAGTTCTCGTTTAAACATACCTTGCAATTGTAAAAAAGCAGCATTTATTTATTGTTCTTGGTGTAGACAGAATTTTTGTTTTGAATGTTTTTATCATAAGTATCATTCACGATCATGTACATCTGACAATGCTATGTAATTATATAATATTGCTTCAATAAATTATATTCGTTTTTCTTGATTATATTTGAGTATTGCACTTTAGTATTTTACAGGTAGTACACTCACATGGTGTACTACCTCTAAACCAAAGATCATCAAAATCCGTTACCCCAAAGCCGTAGGCTCTCCTTGTTAGTTATATAAATAAATGCTTGTTTCGTTTTTAAAACTGTCTCCTGTCTCTGAAGGACACCTGCCGACTTACCGACGCACTCCCCACTCAAATTTTTGCCCTTCTAGCCATCTGACAAGCTGAGAACGGGTTTTACCAAACTGTTGCAGAGTAAGTTGTCATTTGGAATGAGCCCAGTTGCCCACTGCTAATCTCACATAGATTTCACTGTCTTCTGTTTGATGGATGGTACCGTTTTACGGCCGTATTCGCGTCCAAAGTTGAGCACTGCTCAAATCTCTTTTACGCTGGTTTTACGACTTGCTCAAGCGTAAAATATCAGAGTCACGTGATTAAAAGCTTTTAAGGCTGCTATACACCATGGGTTAATCCTTCGAGACTGCCTGTCCTTGAGGAACTTCAGAATTTTTTATTGCCCACAAACGAAGAAAAGCTCTNTGATACAGCAGGACAGAATAACTGAGTTTTTTGACTTTCTATCAGATCTGGCAAAATTGTCAGGATAGACAAAAGCGCAAATGTTGGCAATAGCAAAGCTGAGAGTTATGGGGATAGCCAGAGAATTTGTTCGAAAGGATAGACGAATCAAAGACATTGAGGATTTTGAGGAATTTAAGAATGTTATGCTAGAGCGTTTTGAAAAGGTCCCTTTTCACTTTCGAGTTCTTAGATTCTATGCATGTGTACAAATGCTGGAGGAAGATGTACAGACATATGCAGCGTGATTACAATCTCTTGCTACCGAAATTGAGATAACGCAAGAGGGAGCAGATGCAGCGGAGACCACAATCATTAAGCGCATACAGGATAAAGAATTAGACAAAAGATTAAAAGCTCAGTTTTTGAATAGCATACATCTTAAAATCAGTCAATGTGTCATGTCATGTAAACCTGCTAGTTTTGACAAAGCTCTAAAAGCAGCTATAAGTGAGGAAAGTATAGAAACTCTGACGGCACAGCCCAGTTTCAAAATCAGACCTATAAGGGAAGTTAAATCCGCTACAGAGAAACCACCGGAAGAGTGGGAATCAGTAAAAGCCACTATCGAGGAACTTCGAAATCGATTGGACGAAATTACGAACAGGTTGTCCTCTCCGCTACATAGAAAATGTAAGGATCGTTTGACTTCCTATCCTCGATGCAATAGGCTAACCGCACAGAGGAAGCCCATAACTACCAACGAATTAGATGTCCCCTCCGAGAAAGAGGAGAAGTGGCAAGGCATCATTAGAACTACAAGGACTCAAACGAAGAAGAAACCCATCATCTTAGGTTATGTGAATAACATCTCAGTCAAATTTACTATAGATCCAGAGTTCAATGACACAGTATTGTCAAACGAGGTTGCAAATAAATTAAAAGGAAAAACCCCGGTAAAATTTGGACAACAAAGGAAGATGGTAGGACTGAATGGAGAATCCATCTCAACCATAGGCATGACTGTACCTATTTTCAAATTTAGAGGATACAAGTTTTCCAGATCGTGCAGAATTGTCCGATCGGAAATTACCGCTCCTTGTGAAGGGATCATCGGACGAGATATAATAAAAGAAGAAGCTTCATTATCGATGATGCAAACGAGAAAATAATGTTACCGAATGACAAAATTGTTGCTCAAGCTGTAAACCTCGACAGAAGCTGAAAAGACGAAAACTCGACACTACGGCTAAAAAAATGGTCATACGACTTATGCATCAAGGTCAATCGCATGTCTCAAATGTGCGAAATGAAAGCGCACAACCTTACAAAAATAGGAAAAGACGAAGACAAAAGCAAAATCGAGGTCAAGGTGACCTACCGAAAGAGTCTACATCAACTTCCGGTGAGAATAGAATTCAAATCGTCCGACCCGCAAATCCAACCCCTTCCCACAAAGAAAGAAAAAGAAGAATCTTGGAAAGAAAAGAAAAAATGACAATGCATCGAAAGGTTAAAAGAAAAAGAGTAGCGAAACGAGAGGCTACGCTTCCTATACACCTACAGAAACCTGAAATCCGTCATCACTCTGACATAGAAATCGTCAGTCCGCCAGACTGTCCATCTTCAAAGCGATCTCCTAACTGAAATTATAGAATACATTGACAAGGCTAAGTTTCAATCCAGATTTTATAAGGTTTAGGATTAGTGATAGGACATTTCCCCTAATTAGATTAGAAAATAGAGAGAGAGAGAAATTAGTTATGACAATTTTGTAACACATATACCTCTCACTCTGTTCAACAGGAATAGAAACAAACTGATTTTGTTGCAAACAGTGAAAGTGAACTTTGTGCTTCAGAAGAGACTGATGCCGATTCAACGACAACAACGCAGTCTACTAGCATCACACAACTTACCTACATAGAATGACTTTGAACTGGTGTAGAATTTCTGAACTATCAACAGACGGGGAATCATCAACACGGAAACTGTGACAGTAGGTCAACAGTCTCAACAACTCGTCACGATTGTAAATCACGTCTGTAGTGCAGATTGCACATGTAATGCGTCAACCAATTGTCTTTGTTACATGGAGAAATTTTTATTGTCGAGAAACCCATGTCAAAAAAAGAGACAGAGTAATCTAAATTTAAATGTTAAAATTATACTCAAAAGTATAATTTTAAAGAAAGAGGTGAATGATGTGAAATCCACGATTTTTACGCCAATGTTGGAAAAATCTTTGTAAACAACTCTGAGGAAAAACAACTCTTGGTGAGAAGTATATCGGAGGTCACCGATTGTTTTCACATTAAGGTGGGAAAGTTGACACTTAGTTGATCGGAATGCACCATAAGTGTCAACAGAAGTCGATCACGTGACTCATTTCCCATGAATAACGTATAAAAGCTTGAGTCCCCGGAAGCTCCGCGTGATCCCTCGGAAGTTATACTTGGTAGATGTGCCATATTTGTCTCCATACTCTGGACCGAAAGGACATACGACCAACCACAGCCATTTGAACTTCCATCGCCATTAATGAACCTATTCAATGAACGCATATTAAACATATCCGCATAGAGGTATTTGTACTTTTAGAGCAGGGGTGTCCAACCCGCGGCCCGCATGCGGCCCAAGGCAAGTTCCAATGCGGCCCAATAAACGTGTAAACAAACCGAGAAATGTTTTAATTTTATTATTATTTATTTATTTCAATGGCATAAACTCAAAAAAAGTTCCACAAAGCCGTAACTTTTATTCATATTTTATTTTTAAATGTAAAAAAAAATATTTTCAAATACTTTGAGATGTGTGAATGCAGAATGATTACTAAATAAATTTGGAGTTGTGATTCAAAGGATTATAGACCCGAATTTTGGGAAAAAAAGGGAAAGATGAGAAAGGACAAAAGATGTAGTAGTGAGAAACGTTAAATAGATCTTCTGTTAAACAAATAGGGACCCATAATTTTTCAACCTTTTTCACTTCTTTATCTTTTGTTCTTTGCCTCTTTTTCCCACATTGGGTCTATAATCATTTGATTCACAGCTCCAGCCTTATTTAGTATTTCTTCCAACATTACAAGATTTGGCTAATTGGGCAAAATGTGGCTACTTTTTTTTGCTTGACGTAAAAAATATCATTTGGCTCTTTGGCTACTTTTTCGGCTACATATTATTTATAATTATATTAATTTAATAAAAATGCACTTTAAAATGATGTTTCGTCACTTTTTATGAATTAGAGACCCAAATAAAACAAATATTTGTTTTTTTCAAATAAATTTTCATAACTCTCTTTTATGTACTTATGCTTC